TCGATTTTTAAAAAAAAAAAAAAAAAAAAAGACACAATCGATAATGTACTAGTCACTTAAATGGATCACAGAAAGCTGGATTATCAAGTTGCATTTCTGGAATCAAATATAAATGTTTATATAAATGAAGCAGACCTACTCCACTTGAAATAAAGATGTTAGTATAGCTAAAATAAAGAATGTGAAAACTAAAATCAAAAGTAAATAGTGAAAAATAATGTACACAGTCAGAACTGCTTTCTTTCACCTGTGGTAAACTCTGTGGAAATGGCTCCACTCTCAGTGCCATTCCGGACTCCACTGACTGATACTTCATATGTGGATCCAGGCCTCAGGACTTGGAGGGAGTACTGGCTCAGAGTAGACTGCAGGCGAAAGGTGGTCTTTGGTCCATCCACCCCTACCAGCCCATACCGCAATATAATCTGGTCCACTTTAGCCTTGGGTGGGCTCCACTCCACAAAGGCAACCGTGTCTGAGACATCTCGTACAATAAGCGGTGTTGGCCCATCGATCACTGATGGAAAAAAACACAAGACAACATCACTGATATAAGAAAAGTCAGCTTCTCAATATGCTAGAAGGGTTTTCAACCATGAGTCTGAGGACCTTGGGTGTCCATACAAGCACTCCAGGTGCTTGGAGAAGATATAGAAAACATACTGAATTTTCTTTTAAATTCTAACATTTTAAACAATTAAAAAAAATCTGATCAGCATGATATAATCTAAATATAAATGCAGTTATAAAGTGAAAAAATGGTGAAGGTCCTTGGCTCTGTAAAGGTTTAAAACCCTTAATATAGGAGTTGATAATATAGAATCAAATCATATAGAAATTTCTCTAACATGGTAACAGTGGCATAAGAAATTTTGTTTTGAGTAATTTGTGCCTAAGGGTGTTTATTTGATGATTTGAGTTTAACATCTTTAAAAAAAAAAAAAAAACACAACATGACAGTCTGAATGATTAAATGATCAATGATGAACATAAAACATCCCTTTTTGTTCCATTAAATACAAATGAAGATAAAATACAAATTAGCAAATATGTGAGTTTGCTTGAAGTGTATTTTTCCACAGAAAAACATAGCCCTAAGCTACAGTACAGACCTAACAAAAAACGTATTTTGTGTCTACTGTATCATTAGAAAGGTAACAGTGCAGGGTCAAAAAGTGGTGGCAAACCTTATTTAAAAACGAGGAAGCGGAATGTACAGAATAACGCTGAATTTGCAAGTCAAGCTTGAACTTTAAATATAGTGAACTGTGACTATTTAAAAGGTGAGATGTGTAGTTTATGTGACACAAAAAGTACCACAGGAAATTGCAAAAATATCAACTTTAGGGTTTTGAAAAACTGCCTCTTCTGCTCAGCCTCCATCTACAGCTGCTCAGTTCAGCTTGGCAGAACTTACTATGACCTATTGAAATTATGATGACGTATATGTTTCTTGAAAAAAATTATAAAAACTATTCTCTGAATACATAGAATGGCTGTCAATTGAGCAAGATGTTTTTATGGTATTACAGCTAACTAGATCATGCTAAGCAGCCAAACACTGAATCTTGGGACAAATACCAGTGGTTAAGCCAGAAGTTGAACCACTTAAACCAAACAATGTTTGAAAACTGAGAGCCACAGTGTTTACCTGAAGCCATATTAAACTGGAAATATATGTTAATATATTTATTTATATGTTAAGTTATCCAGTACAGTATTTCAAGTACAGTGCATGAGAAATTGTCAGTAATATTCACCAGATATTGACAGCAGGCAGTACCACTGCAAACCCGCACTCAAGCGACTGAATCAAGTGGCCATGCTGAGCCTCCAAAAGTCTCTTTTAATAATGGCTGTGTGAATAATTAACCTGCTTCTTTATATAGGGCAACATGACCATCTGCCTCAGAAACAGGTATTGTGAAGGAAGATGAACATCTCTGGAACTTTTGACCTCAACAGTTCAGCTCATCTCCAACCTTGACCTCATTCTGCTGTGATATGCAAAACGCTACTAATTGGACCAGGTGAGACTGCGCTGAATCGTACGTTTACCTTTCAAAAAGATGCGCCTACAACATATACTGCACATGATGCCATTTTTACTCCCTAAAGAGTATTACAACTACATAATGTGACCCGTTAATCAAAAACGAGGGTTTAGGAGGAACCCCAAGTATGAGGAAATTATGTCACCCTGTTCATGGGAATATTTACTTTAAGTCCTCTACACAGCCTATTCAATCCACAAGGGTGATTTCTTGGTTTTATTCTAGGCACACCAGCACAGTCTCATTTTGAAGTCTAAGCACACCAGATACCAGGCAGTAGACTACTGTTTATTTTTTCCCCAAAAATGTTGTATTTTAGCGCTTAAGCATAATTACTGTGAAGCAAACTCATGAGGTACCGAGTGCACGCTTAGCGAAAACTTGTCTTCCCAGGCTTTCTCCGGGGATAGATAAATCTTTGCACACATAAATAATTAAGTGACATCAAATTTGTCTTTCTTTATCCAATAAGGAATCTGCAGTGGACGCGTGAAATATTAATGGACTCGCATGCATAATTAATGCCTCTTTAATTATGCTAGACAGTGAGGCCCGTATAAATTAATGGCGTTTTCACAGCATTCATGCAATTTCAATTGTCCAGGAAAAGATCAATTGAATCTAATCCTCCTGTCTGTAAGTGAAAGAAGAAGAATTCTTGGGTGAAGTTTACATTAAGTGCATAATTGCTGGCAGACTCACCCATTCATCATTGTGACATTTTCCATTAGCTGAAGCAATGTGACACCTCCTTGCAGTTTATGCCTTCCCAGCCCAGCCCAGCCCCTCTCACACGTCATTTGAAAGGTCTGTTTACATACCTTCCTTAGAGAGTGCACTATATCCCTGGCTGTATGTTTTTCTGCATGTCTTGTCAGACACATTTACAATTGCGTTTCGTTCTGACAACACACTGTCAGCAGACTAACAGTAAAATGACTGTGTTCGTAGTATAGTTTGAAGGTGAGCCCTCTGTTCAGCCTCACTGCTGCACTACTGATTTCAGCATCAAGGACAGGGGAAAAACGACAGGACATGGTAGATGGGTGGAGGAAATCACTGCTCAAGCCACTTCCAACTTGTCAGCTCCATCTACAAAAGAGACACTAGTGACTCAGCTGGCTGAGTAACCTGAAGGGAAAACACTTCAAATTGTTTGCGCTTTCATCTTCTCAGCACACAGAAAGCAACGGTAAACTAGATCTCCCTGCACTCCGCCCAAGGAGCATTTGTTTGCCTTGCAAACTTTTATGTCTCCATCAATGATGAAACATCCTGTTCTGCCATTCCACACTAAGAGCATCTACACACTATCACAAAACTTGAGCATAGTTAATTCAGTCATGGCTGATACTAAATAAGGCATCATAATATAATATAATATAATTAGTGCTGTCAAATTTAGCATGTTAACACATGCGATACATTTTTTCAGTTTAACGGTGTTAAAAATATTTAATGCAATTAACGCAGGGGCGGAGCTAGGGTTCCCCACTCACAAGTGCTGCTTCTGTCTCTTTTTTCTTGACAAGAATTGCGTTTATTTAGTCCTTGCATTTATTTAGCCTTAAAATTGTGCATGTATATAAGTATTTGTTATATATGAGTCAGGTTTAAGAACATGTCTCTGAAATGCAGTGGTTTTCAGAATTGTCCTGGAGCAGCCCAGCACTGTCTCCCTCTACTACTGTAAAGTTAAATGGCTATAGTCAATGGTTAAAAATGGGGGGGGGGGACTATTTCCTAGAGACATCAGTAGTATTGGTATCAGTGATACTCACCTTCAGACATAAAAAAGATGCCACTAAACAAATATAAAAAACAAACAGTTTTTTTCTACATTAATTTGAAGACTGAATGTGAAATTATTGCAATATAAAAGTATATTTAAAAACTTTCATGTTAGGTGGGATTAATCATGATTAATCACAATTAATTTCATAAAAATGTGTAATTAATTAGTTCATTTTTTAATCAATTGATACAATATAATATAATAAATAGAAGCATTTGCAAATAGGCAAAAAAAAAAAACTATTAAAGGGAAATGTTATCAGTAATGTATCAGTAAAGTGGACAAGAGGTGTCTAGTATTACTTTTTATGTTATGATGGAACATGGTGGTACATTTCATGACAGATGACAGACCTCATTCCTAAATAATTAATTACTATAAGAATGCATTAGTTTTATTATTATGGAGCCTTGCAAATGGTCTTCAAGTTCCTCAGAAACAATTACTGAACAAAAAGCTTAAGTTGCACTATAGAATCTTACACAGATCTTATTGACTAAAGGTGCAATATACTGACATTGTAGGGGTAATGAGAAAATGCAAGTATTGGGACGCACAACCCACTCTATGTAGGTCATCAAAAATCAAAGATATATACAGCAAGTTCAAGAAAAACATGGTTGAGTTATCAGAGAATGAAACAGTGAGGCGTGGGTGTTCCTATAGATCGGCTGGTAGAGCATGGTGCTAACAATGCCAAGGTCATGGATTTGATTCCCAGGGAACACACATACACTAAGGGTATTACTTGACTGCACTGTAAAACGCTTTGTAATGTAAATGTATTGTAAATGAGTGAGAGGCGTACATGTGATAATGGTTGCAGTAACAGGCTGGCTCCTTCCTTGGTCTTTCAAGGCCACAAGGTTGACAGTGTATTCTTCCCCAGGCCGCAGCCCTGTTTGGTGGAACGACGTGATGGTACTAGGTAGTTGTGCTGTCATCCCTCCATCATTGTCCTTTGACGTGCACAAGACACAAACACATACAAAAATATCACATTTCACAATTCTGGCATCAGAGTGCAGGCAGGCATGCAGGAATATACAGTATACTGCTCGAATCGACAGAGATTGTTTTCAGGAGGCAGTCGGCTGTGTAAACAAAGAAGCTGCTGGAATTTCAGTGTAGAAACATTTCGCCAGATGTTTGATGTATTGAATCAAGCCTTGTTTTTTTCCCAACTCGCTTAGCAGAGCACTTTGTGAGTTTGATGCATCGCACCCCACAAGATTATGAAATCAAGCAATATCAAAGTGTGCGAGGGTTTCAGAAGATGTGACTGTTCTAAAAAGCCTCTTTCCTTTTGTTTTTTGCCATTGACTCAGTGAACACACACTTGTCCCTGCCCTCACATCCATTACGATATTGTGGAAAATCAGGCTCTTACGCTTTGTAGGATTAAATCCACAGAGGATATGACTTCCACTTCTAATATGATTTCCCTAGTGGCGTACCAGAGTTGGCTCTCATGCACGGTGCTCTTAGCAGACCCTCTCACCGATGGAAGATTGAAGTGCACCATGATCCCCCCACCCTCAACCGTCGGCTTCTTTGTATTCAACTTCCTGTTCCCTTGAAAGAGGCTTTTGACTTTGTTTCCAATGTATTTTCTTCTTTTAGTCCAAAAAAATAAGGGATTTATGAAACTCATGAACTCACTTTGCCAGGGCATAAGCTATGGATTTTGCTGAAAGCTAAGACAGTGGCATGAGACCTAGACTTCCCAGCACAGGACAGAATACTGCACTCTTCAAGGGGTCCTAAAAACGTGTGGCTATTACCCGACTGAGCTCTCAAAACTGTCTACAAATAGATTCGCCAAATCATCTCCTGGCTAAAGGAAATCCTTTGTGTGAACCATTTAAGTAAACCATAATCCCCACTTTACCGGTTTCCATTACACACAAGCATACCTCTGATATGTCTTTTGTTGGAGGGAAACACTGTTTACAGATTCAATGGCTGGGTCTTAATAGTAATGCTACAACCAAATGAAATAATGCCTCAGGGGCTCTGATGCATATTTGTTATTATACATAGGGAGAAATGTTTCACCTCGATGTGAAATGACAGGTATGTTGCACAGGAGACATGCTGTTTTGCATACGGCGATGTCTCCCACAGCTATTTCTTATTGAGGCACTGAGCACAAGCTCCACATTTTGTTAGCATGCAGGAGCTGGACGTTTTTCTTCTTCCTGTGAGGGTGCAGAATGCACATGCTGAAAATGTTTTGTCCTTTCTCCAGATGGAACATTTGAAAGGGGATTAGTGAGAACATCTCTGCCTGGAGGATGTATTGTGTTTCTGCCATGATGCAAAATAATTCTCTTTCAAACAAGGACAGATTGACATTTATCATGCTGAGAGGCACCTGTCAGAAACTGAATCATCTTTGGCTTCAAAAAGCATTAATTTATCAGCTGTGCACAGATGTCTGTCAAAACCTTACATTGCAGTTTTCTTGTTTACTGTTGTCGAAATACAATGTGGCAGATGTTGAAGTCCACAAATGCTACAAGATTCCAGAACCTTAGTGTTGTTATGCCAGAAGCTACAGCAGGGGCAGAATCAAATGAAGTGTGACATTCTAAGGAAAGCCTTACCTTGGGAATGAAGCTTATTTCCCAACCATCAAACAAGTAGTCTAAGGGTTGCCACTGAACCTCCACGGACGTCTCCATGATGGATTTGAAGAGTAAACCGTCTGGATTCGAGAGATCTAAAAGGTACAGATTGATGCATTATTGGCCTCCGTCTTGTGTGTGTTCAATAAATCAACATTTTTCTCAGCCAAGGTGGATCTTTAGTCTCTGCTTTTAGCTCTGTAAAAAGAGAGCAGTGGATACAGAGAGGTTCACTTTGCAGACATATTCAGGATTATGTTATTTTTCCCAGATATTTTAAACATGCAATGCTTCTTAAATAGTTTACATTTATTGTATAAAGGATGCAGTCGGGAAACCCAAAGAATAGAAGTCGGGAAATAGCTTTACAGTAATTTCACAGTACACACAAGTGAACCTCCAGCCTTTTCAGTGTCAACAATTGTAAGAGCCTCCAGAGGATTTGAAAATAATATCATGGAAACAGTAATAAAACGCTATCTCTGCTGGGAGTGTTCTGCTTCTTCCATGTATATGATGACATTTAATGGTTTGTAAGAAAGTGATAATGTACTGTCATACAATAAGTATTACTAAATAAAATCTGACAGTAGTCAGATTAATTATTTTATTAAAAACACAATAGAGCAAAACATTTATTAAATAAACTTAAATTTTTCAGCTAGTTTATATGTAGTAATACTACAGAAATTAAAATACTGCATAGTCTTCAGTGTTTGAATCAAATATGAATTGATTCTTATTAAAGATCCAAAAGTGATTCAGTCAAGAGCAGTGAATGATTTTCTTTTTGTCTTTTGTTGTTTGATTAACATTAATGACACAGACAGTAGCAGATAAATTAGGCTGCTGTCCCTTTAAGACTGACTGCACGTATCCAGTATACTGAAACTGGTTTTCACCCAACTGTTTACGTTTATTGAACACATAACCAACTGTGTTTACATGAGTATTCCACACGACGGACATTTTGATATAATTATGCATGTATCTGACCATTCAAGCGCAATAAGACACGAAATATCTGAATTTGCGATTGCATGCTGTCTGAGAGAGGCGCTTTTTGTGTTTGCGCTTCAGTGTGTCATTGCATTGAGTTCTTCAATGCATACTGCGCTTAATATCTCTATTTAACATCTAGCACTTTATTTTTTCATTCATACATGTATTTTTTATATCTCTAGGTGTATATAATTTTTAAGTAGTACTGTGCTAAGCAGATATATTTGAATGCCGAGGAAATAAACGATGGTAAAAAATCTTTAACGATAGACACTTTATACAGTGTTAACAATATACTGTATATACCGTCATACCACCCAGCCTTACTGTTTTTACTGTATCTATCTCTTTTCTCTTTATTTCCTTCCTTGCTTTCTCTCTCTATTAATTGCTTCCTTGCAATATGTTTTCTTGTTGCTAACTGCACAGGATTTTAGCTATTGCAAGCATATGCTTCAATTGCAGAAAATGGGCAATAATGTTCAAAAAGTCTCATCTTTGTTAGATTACAGATATTATGGCTTCACTAGTTGAATATCTCAGAAGTCTAAGCAAGCTCTCGATGCCTGCCAAATGCCACATGCAAATAGCAATTTCTTTCAAATTCATTAAGTTCCAATTGTCTTTATTATCTCTGAATTGCCTGCAAAAATGTAAGAAACAGAAGGCCAGACAGTGGTGATTTATGATTGTCTGTAGAATGCCCAACTGGCTTTTCACAAATAATGGAATGTTTGTTATGATGTGTTCTATTCTAGGCTGAGGCATTTTGCTCAAGGCTGACAGGCAGTGACTGTATACGAAAGGCCCTCTAGCATTTTGCCAATCTGGCACTGCTAGTCACCAGGTGGTGGGTGTCTAATCATATCCTGTTGGCAAAGACAGACAGTTGTTCCTCTGAAGAACTAACATGAGGTATGTGTGTGTGTGTGCAAATGGGACTGTGAAGGAGTGTGTAATCTCTCATCCAGGTCTATTAAACCTGGGTCATGCTTGGGTAACAATGATGCACTTACAATGAAAATGTCAGATTCAAGATCTATGCAAAACACCTCAGACATTTCAATAGAAAGAAATAGCCTTATCTGACCAAAACACAGACGTTCTTGGAATAAAAGAGCTCTCAGGAGAGAAGTGCACTCACAGGTGGAGACTAAGGTGTTCATTGGGGCACTGATGATGTTGTCGATCACGGCGTACAAATTGATGTTGTACTCCAGACCCGGCTCCAATCCTTTGAGGGTGGTGTTGGTAACATTTCCTGGGACTCTGATCTCTAGTTGTACTCCACCAGGGGTTGTGGGGGCGTAAGTGATGAGATAGTCTGTCAGGATCACAGGCCCCTCCCACTCCAGATCAATGGTGTTCTCTGACACACCCCGAACTTGCAGATTCATAGGAGGTGACACTGAGTATTAAAAGAATGAGGACATCAAATGAATATGAATCATTCTGATTAAAAAGCAATTATTCTGAGGAGACGGGTATGGAAAATTCTCTGATGTGATCTCAGGCAAATTACACTGCAAGTACTTTTGTTCACATATACCTTTTTAAAAATGTGTATTATAGATAGATAGATAGATAGATAGATAGATAGATAGTAGATTGATGTTTCTGTATGTAGTGAACTTGAAAAAGTAAAAAAAAATGCTACTTCTAAAAAGAGATGGAGAATCCCATTTGGGCTACCCAAGAGACTAAGAAACAACCCGGGTCTCCAGAACACATGAGAGTTCCTCCTAATACTGGGCTCATAGGAGTAGCTATAAGTGGCCCCTAGGGAATTACTAAGGACTTGAGAAAGCAATTCAGCTCCTTCCACACGAACAGGACAGACTGGCATTCCTTCTGGTCCCCCTCTACAACAGATCCATCAAAATAGAGAAAAAAGTCCCAGGGTGCATACTTAGCAAAATTGATCACTCTAGCATCTGTGCTTTTCACCCATATCTAGTTGCTAAGCTCCCCTTTTTATTTTCAAGGAGAAACTAGAATCCAGGAAGCGGAGCACAGATATTCAGATACAGTCTTAGGCAAAAAGGGAGCAACAGTCTTTCCAACTGGATGCTTATCAGTTTCCACTTCTCACAAGAAAGTCTCATCACTTACAAACTTGAAAGCTGGCATCAATTATTTGAAATGTCTTTCTATAACAAGAAATATATTTTGCATAATCAGTATATATTTTCTGGCATATTAAGTATAATCAGGAAATGTTTTCTTTTTAAATTATATATATATATATATATATATTTAAACACACACACACACGCACGCACACGCACGCACATGCACGCACGTACGCACGCACACACTGTATATAATTCTACATATACATTTAAAAATAACTGCACATTTCTTACAGAACTTAATTATTTATTTTTTTTGCATTATGTGCTGTGAGTTGATTGTTAAAAATGTCATTCACCACAAATTATTTTCTCAATCCATTCAAACTGGATTCATTCTCAGCTTTGTATACATGCATTAGTATTGGCAGCCTTGCTTGTCTAGATTATCAGTTGACATGTACTGAAGCAACAATATGTCAGCTAACAGTCTTTCAGAATAACCTAAAGACTATGTTTTGGCAAAGTGTGTAGAGTATAATGTGCTACTACTTATTTCATAATGACTTTTGTTAAATTATAGTTGAAAGACAGGTGTAAAAGCAGGTGTAGTGCTATGTTAGAGTTTGCAATTAAATTCCTTGATATTTGTCGATTAGAAAAATTGTCATTGTCAAAGAAAGCCATTTCAAATATCACTTAATTTAAACTATTTGAAAATTTCAGGAAAGGAACTTCTCATCTCATCTAATTTTCTTAATTTCTTCTTTTACCCCCATCGCTACCTGTTTGCAAAATACTTTTTGCTTATGGTTTCATCGGCCTAATGAAACGAGAAAATTGGATAGAGTAACTAAAAGAAAAGCCATATCCTAATTCATTCCCTTGATAATATGAAGACCTAAGAGAGCAGAGAATCTTCTGAAGCTGCGTGGAGAGTAATAATTGAGCAGCCACTCGCCGTATTCCACCACCTCTCACAGACAACACCACACTATTTTCTCCTAATTGCAATGAAATAAGCAATTTTGCCTCCACTCAGTCTTGCAGAAAATAAGAGGCAGAGAACTGGGCTGGTAATATGATTTGCCCTTCCCTCTCCCACTCATGAGATGACAGCTGTCTTCAGCAATGTGGGGTTTCGCCAGTCTTTTCCACGAACTAGCTGTGAACCTGGGTAAGCGTGATGGAGAAATTGCTTTGGCCTGGTTAATATTGACACATCTTTCCCTGTGAATGTGACTTTTGACAAATGAATGGTGTTACGCTGTGAGTTGTCACCAATTTTACAGCCATGACTGGAGGAGTGGGGGGCCTACTGTGGGGTTTAGCATCTGTCGCGTGTGCCGGTAACTGGGGAAACGGTTACTGTTCTTCCCAGAGAACATTTATATTGGAAAGAAAATATACCAGTTGCACAATTACTTAATAAAGTAGCTTGTTTATCTGCAATTGACTTAAACACTTTGAGAGAGAATGTATGCTATGAAAATTATGTTCATAAACAAGCTTTTGTTATAGCTCAATTTCCTCTTTGATGGATTTTAAATGCTTAAAAAAATTCACTATGCAATATATAAGGCAGAATGTGTGAATTATCCACAAACTAATTTTTTTTGAGGAACGTATTTGTACTGCTTCCACTGTGTCAATATAGCAAGTTGTAACAAGTGTTTATAATGGTATGAAAAAATGCTACTGTACATGATGTCTCTCTCTCTATATATATATATATATATATTTAACAGAACAACATTTTGCTGCAAATTGTAATAGTATAAATTACCATTCAAATGATATCTATTCAAAATCTATTCAATATTTAACAAGACAACAGATGTACTGTTTCCTTACAGGAAAAACATATGGTTAAAGTTATGGATCATATGGATCATAGGAAAAAACAGTTGCCTTAAAATATCTATGTGTCACACATTACATGTGATCATATTTTATTTATATTAATTGTTTCTTATTTCTTATCAGTTGTGTACATGTATGGGCTTTATGTTGCATTGTTTCTTTAGTTCTATTTTCAGTGTATTTAAAAGTACAAAGCAAGTTTAAGTAGTAGTTCAGGCAGGTTGGATATATTGAAATGATATCAAGTAATGAAATAACCAAAATTAATGTGTGATTAATTAGATTAATTAATCGGCACATCATGTGATTAACAATATTAAGCGCATTTGACAGTCCTAGAAATAACACTAAAATATGCAGGAAATAAATATCTGAAACCCATAAGTTGTGTCTACAAATTTTCTGGCAACAAGAAGGGTTGGCAATAAGAAAACACAAGGGTGTTTTTTTTATTGTACTCAACTATACACTCACCTGAAGCACAGTCATCTCCTGTATATCCCTCTTGACAGGCGCAGAAACCATCCTTACACACCCCTTTCTGGCTGCAGTTATTAGCACAGAAGACGAGAGAGCAGTCTTCCCCCAGGAAGCCGGGTCGGCACTGGCAGGTTCCGTTCACACAGGTTCCTTGATCTGAGCAGTCGTTCAGACATCTGCCCAGTGAGCAGTCCTCCCCAGCATAGGCTTCCTCACAAACACACTCGCCATCAATGCATAACCCCCTGTCTGAGCAATCACCTGGACATCGAGGCTCCGAGCAGTTATCACCGCCAAAGTTACGGTCACATACACACCCGCCTTCGATGCAAATGCCCTGGCCAGAGCAGTCATCTGGGCAGCGGGCTTCAGAACAGTTCTTGCCAATCCATCCTTCTTCACAAACACACCCACAAACCTCCATGCTGAATGTGCCATGGCCACACTGAGGGACGAAGTCGAAGTGACCTAAGATTGAACAAATATGAAATAAAAAATCTGTCATCTTTTGCTCACTCTAATGCCATGGAGAAAAAAAAAAGAAGACTAATGTTAAACACTGTGACTGAATCAGTGAATTTGTGATTGAAATAAATAACTGGACCCGTCTGGTTCATGAATTAATCATTCAAACTGGTTTTGTGACCTGAGTGAACTGATTCATCAGACTCTATAATTTTAAAGGGATATTTTGCCCAAAAATATAAATTCTGTCATTATTTACTGCTGAACATAACAGAAGACATTTTGAAGAATGTATGTAACCAAACAGTTGTTGGTCCCCATTGACTTCTAAATATATATATACTGTATATATATATATTGTAATAATACTATGTCAATGAGGACCAGAAAATGTTTGATTACACACATTCTTCAAAATATCTTCTTTCGTGTTCAGCAGAAGAAAAAAATTCATAAAGGGTTGGAACAACTTGAGGGTGAGTAAATGATGATAGAATTTTCATTTTTGGGTGGAATATCCCTTTAAGTATATATAGTGAAATTACAGGCTGTTCCTCACACACGGCTATCATTATATGTTCTGAAAGAAGTCAGACCACTTTTATCAGTGTGCTTTTTTTAGTGCTTTTTTTTGGTCATTCTGGTCCTCATTCACCTCACTTTCGGTATCCAGGACACTCTTTTAAACATATTCTTAAAAATTACTGCAATTACTGCATTTCAAACAGGTTTGCAGCAAAATGAGGGTGAGTAAATAATGACAGATTTCACACTGGGTGAGCTATTCCTTTAATTTCCATCAGGTTGGACTAAAATTAAACTTAAGAAAAATAAATAAATAAATAAATAATTCGGAGGCAATATCTTGCAATCTTCTTAGCTCCAGTGCATGTAGCTTGATTCAGCAAACAGAGGACTTATCAAAGGCTTGAGGGGAAGACCTTTCCAGCAGCAGTGCTGTAATTAATCTAGTTCACAATCTAACCTCATTTGTATAGCTTAATACGACTTTCCCTTTACTACTGCAGTGTTTCAGCTGTTTTTAGCTGCCCTGGAGGGGCTACACAGCCAAGGTTTGCAGGTGTGAATCCACTCGAGTGCCCCTTTGAGACGTTAAACAAGCACAACACTACCAACTTCCAAAGTTCTGTTGTCCTTATGGGTCAATGTACAATATAGCCTCTACTTCACTTAGCACTGCAGTCACATCATAACCGACAGAAGGACCAGGATGCACTTTTGTTTCATCCACCAGGTACAATGAGCCAAAAGCTTTGAAACAGATTTGAGTTTGATTAATCCATTATAAAACAGAGACACAACCTGTGTATAGTAAATCCATGATATTCGATTTTGAATATTTATCTACAGCAGAACATATTAACTCTTTCATACAACCTTCTTTGCATTATGTGCCATCTGGGACTTCTAAGATGAAAAAGGATCTATGGGTGACACAACTTTCCCAGGATAACCCAGTTCAGTTGCCTGTTTAATGACAACATGAATAGGTACACGAAGAAATATTAGGGATAGAAACTGGTAAAAAGAGTTCCAATGACTGATTCTTAGATGATACTTCACTAATTCAGTGCTATTTGAGTCTGACTGAGAAGCACGTTTTTAATTAAAATGAGTCAGTTAAAAATTTTAAGCTTAAGTTAACATATTTTAGATATCTTATTAAAGTGAAAGTTATTCCAGCAAAGAGCTGTCATGTGATTTTCTCTTTTTGTCAATATTGCTGATTAATATCCTCCATTTATCTATTTTGTACATATATGTAATCCAAAGGCATGTGATAAATTAAATTAATACACTACTATTCAAAGATTTGTGGAGTTTTTAATGTTTTCGAAAGACATCTACTATGCTCATCAAGGCTGCATTTATTTGATCAAATATACATTAAAAAATAAATGTTTTCTTTTTTAATGTATTAGAAAATGTAATTTACTCATGTGATGAAAAAGCTGAATTTTCTATAGTCATTACTCCAGTCTTCAGTGTCAATTTTCAATTATTTTTAGTAAAGCATAAAACTGTAAGGCTATATTAGCTTTAGTACAGCATGTACATAAAATTATTCCTTATTTTGTCTCATCTCATCCTTGACCTGAAATGAGTCAAGGATTACTTGATTTAAACTGTTTGAACATTTTTAACTAATCTTTATTTAGATCATTATCTGTTATATAATGAAAATACCATAACAGTAAGAATGCTTGAAAGAACAAATCCAGTCGGAACTCAGAAACATTACTTTTTTATAAAACTGCAGGATGTGCGAGCAATGTGTATCCACCTCAAAATCTAAAACTCACCAATAACAGAGCTCTCTCCACAGCAGCTGGAGCTACACTGTGCTCGAAGCAAGGACACCTCCCTCTCCAGCATCTCTATACGGCTAGCCAGCTGTTCCATGGCGGCAGCCGCAGGACAAGCACAGGCCTGCTTTGGGATATTGATGCGATGGGTGAAGGTCACCTGGCTGTCCGAGTCCACTGTCTCTTCTGTGTACTCTGTTGGCATCTTGTCACTCCCAGCTGTACCTTTGTTTGACCCTGGCCCTGGTACCGTGTCAAGGTCCACTGAACAGAGTGACTCTAGAGGTACATTGATGTTGTATACATGATTGAAGATCATGGCCTGGGTCTGGTTGCTAGAGGGAACCCCACCTTCGGGAACCTGTCGCCTCACCCTTGTGGTCCTCACTAGTTTGCTGGTGGGGTTAGGAACAGCTTGAATCCCAAAGAACAGTAAAGCCAGGCTCACCATTGAACCTTGTATTGCCATGGTGCACCCCCACATCACAACTCGGGCACTAGGGTGAGATCATCAACTCCACAAATAGACCTCTGATCGGCACTGTGAACAAGAAGAGACCACTTTTTAGTACTCGAGAACAGGAAAGAAATTAGCATATCTTAACAATAGCACTATTTTTACTGGCCTCAAACTCAACACAAATATGATAATACAAACATTAGACCAATCAGGTATATCAGAGTGGTATAATTAATCCTAGGTACGCTTGTGAGATGAAGAGAACATGATAGGCAGGCATTATCCGAATGACAGATCATTGAGCCAATCATGACACTGCCTTCCTTGGCAACTAACTGAAATAAAAGTTTAGGTTTAAGTTGAAGTACTAAAATGACAAACTGAAATTATAATAAAAATGACAAAAGCACAACATTTATGTAACTAAAACTTGAAAACTGGAAATATAAAAATAAAAGCTAGTAATAAATATAATAATAGTATATACATCATTCTAAAATAAAACTGTTAAGACACTGTTTCATACAGTTTTGCCTGTCAATAATGCTAAAATAAAACCGTTACACACTGTTTCATACAATTTTGCCTGTGATTTTTTTTTTTTTTAATAGGAGGCACAACCTCCTTTGTCCCTCAGAGAAAATATTATAATTTTTAGCTAATGCTTCCAGGACAAGTAATTCTTGCAATGTTAGCTTGGTGACATATAAATCGGCATAATTCACAAGAACAATCTTGAGAAATCCAAATGTTTATGGGAAGTGCAGCTCTTACAAACAATCTCACACTGGCCCTGTTTCATCAGGCCCTTTTTACTGTTGAGCCCTGAACCTAGTAAAGCCAAATTATTATTGATTCCATATTTTGTGCTAAAATTATTTTCTGATAATTGTAGACATTAAACCCAGAAGCTTTCCCTACAGCATGAGAAACATTTGAGTAATTCGACTGGGAATTTTGTTGATATACAGTTCATTGATTCAGTAGAGACCCAGCTATGGAATTTTCTTTAAATCTTCCTAAATCCCTTATCAGCAACAGAACTCAGGACAAGAGCAAACTGTAAAATGAATCACTGAGTCAGACTGACACCTGGGCTTTGGGGCCATGGTCAGAGTGATAATCTCCTCTGACATTTTCTATTTTAATGGACTGGCAGACATAGACTTCCCCACCGAAGAAAATCTTTTTTTGTTGTTGCTGTTCAATCACTTGGATAAAAGTAAGAGACTTTAAAGTAAATGTATAGTGCTCTATCATTTCTTATAGGAGAAGAATTCATATGTAGAGAACAAAGCATCCATCCATCCAAATCACTTTAATCCTAATGACTTCACTTTAAACTAGCTATAATTGTACTTTCAGATTAATTACTAAAATCTACTGAATATACGTCACAAAAGAATGGCTAGTTAACTGAAGGGTTGTGTGTAGTCATATATTCCTGTCACATTGTGGCATCTTATTTTAATCTGTCGGAGCCTGGGGGTGTGTCTAAGCGGGTTGCTCTCATTTTATTTGAGAAACTGGACCCTGGAGCAGGTGGCTCGTTAATTCCTCCTCCATCCTGCCTCTTACTTTATGAGTGGCAAACTTCACACAGAAGGGGTCTGACATTACACAACCAATTTCACCCTCACACCTTCTACAGAAATATAGTCTGATGAAACAAAAAAATTCTAAGTCGGCATAGTAAGTCTGCTAGTAGAGTCTACTTCACAAATATTAGCCAAAAACAATGCCAGTTTTGAAATCACAAAGCTTTTAAAGGAGTAGTTCACCCAAAAAATGAAAATGTGAAACTCACCCTTTGGCCATCCAAGATGTAGATGAGTTTTTATCTTCATCGGACGAGACTTAGAGAAACTTAGCATTACATGACTTGCTCACCAATGGATCCTCTGCAGTGAATGGATGCCATCAGAATGAGAGTCCAAACAGATGATAAAAGCATCTCAAAAATCCATAAGTAATCCACACAACTTCAGTCGATCAATTAACTTCATGTGAAGCGTAAAGCTGTATGGTTGTAAGAAATAAATTCATAATTAAGACTGGAGACTGGAGTCGTGTGGATTACTTGTGAATTATTGCAACGTTTTTATCAGCTGTTTGAACTCTGATGGCACCCATTCATTGCAGAAGATCCATTGGTGAGCAACAAGTCATGTAATGCTAAATTTCTGCTAAATGAGTTAGTAATGCTAAATCTGTTCCGATGAACAAATAAATTAATCTACATCTTGTATGGCGTGAGGGTGAGTAAATTCTTTTCGCACATATTCATTTTTGGATGAGCTATTCCTTTTGCAGTCAAAAATGTTCTTTCCCCGTAAGTGTTGAATTTTGAGAAATGTCTTTCCTATGGTCTAGCGTTTTCTCTAATGGATAAGATTAAGAGACTACAGAACTATAGAGAGACTACAGACCACTGAAGAGACTATCACCTCTCTCTCTCTCTCTCTCTCTCTCTCATGATTTTTTTTTTTAAACAAACCGCCTTTAAAGTAGAAGTCAGACCAGGTCAAGCAGACAACTCTGCATTTCTCCTGTTATGATGGGCTGATGTGAAACTTTTCTTTGATTGGAGATCTTGGCAATGCCAAGCAGCCCATAGCCTTTGAAGAGAATGAGTGCCATCACACTGAATGACGAAGAGGCTCAATTATTAAATATGACAGGGAAGACCACGGGGCAATCCCCAATTTCCTAATTTACTTTTGAACAGTACATGTTTCTTGATGGGATTTTTCTTTCAGTCATTTAATGGTTGTCCACATTGTAGAACCGTAATCAGAACTGACAGTGCAGTGAATGAAAGGAGTGAAAGGAACACAACTTTTTTCAACACTGATAATACTAAAAAAATAAAAAAAAATAAAAAATTGTGAAAAATTAAGAAAAATTAGCTTTGCCATCACAGGAATAAAATTACATTTTAAAATATATGAAAATAGAAAACAGTTATTTTTGAATGCAGAATTGGGGAGCATAAGAGATGTATTTTAAAAATATAAAAAAATCGTACCGACCCTAAACTTTTGAATATTAGATTTGTGAAAGGAGGCATTGTTAAAGAAACTAAGAAAATAAGAATTCTTGATCTTAAAATTTATTTTAACAGTACCAACCTTTGGATCCCAATAACTATTATTGAAATTTATGTGTTAACAAGTTAACAAAAAAGAAAAAAGAAAAATATGAGATTTTAAATTATCTCAGCAAATAAATTAAAGATTTTTTTTTCAAAGATTGGTCTGCAAATGTTCTGTTTCAAATGAATGACAATTATGCTGTTATTATGTAATGGAAGAATACATGGTGGAAAGAGATGTGTTATAACTAAGAAAAGAACAATTGCATCAATATTGCCTGAATTTCACATTAAAATAGCTGTCCCTTTTCCTTGTTATTTAAAGGGGTCCTATTATGCTCTTTTACAAAGTCTTGATTTTGTTTTGGGGGTGTACTAGAACATGCTCTCATGCTTGGTGGTTCGAAAAACACATTATTTTTCACATAATTTACATTATTAAAATACCTTTCTCCCCTGGCTGGCACAAACGGCTCGATTAGTTCCGGCTTTGATGAAGGTCCGCCTTCCGAAAAACAAAATGTGTTGTGATTGGTTAGCTGTCCCAGTGCGTTGTGATTGGTGAACAGCTTAGACGGTGTTTCAGTACTGCCACGCCCCTTGCTCCGTCTATCAACAAAAGCTTTTGGCGAATCCAGCACTAATCATTCGTGTTGTGGAAGCTGTCCTCAGTAAAATGCGCAGCACACAATAGCTACAATTAAAAAAGTGAAAACGCATAATAGGACCCCTTTAAACAGCATTGTCTGATTTGTGGTGAAGGTTCTGGAGCTGTTGTTGCTGATGATGAGCATTGACCTCCTTTAGAACTATGGTAAGTTATACAGAGAGTTGTGGCTGCTAATCACAATGGTATTATTATAATTTTTGAAGAGACAAAAAATTTACAAAGTTAAAGAAAGATTTTAAGGATGCAAATCAATTTCTTCTCATTGCTGAAAAGAGCTTCACCTTCTTTCGGTGAGATGACATATTTTTGTTCTTTAAAATAAAACCACCTGCACCACCACTGAGATGATGACAATATCATTTTAGTATTTCAAATCTCTTTCTTCCTCTTCATTGAGAGTTACCTTTGACTCAAGAAATTGAGACAACAATTAAAGATATGAATTTTACCAACAAGTTTTAGATTGTTTTTCTTTTCAGTGCACTCAAAACTATATAGTGAGGTCAATGTATTTTACTCAACAATGTAAAATCCAGTTTAAAGTGGTAGTGTTTTGGAACATATAGTTTATGGAACACTAGTAGGCCTATAAGATGATTGACCAACTAATGACCAAGCAACAAACTTACTACTAGCTGGTCTAACCAGCTTCAGGTGTTTGGGCAGTTTTTTTTTAATACATGCTGGCTAGTCAGCCAGCCAATGGCCAGCAAACCCCCACAAATACCAGCTTAAGCTGGATTTTTCAGCAGTGTGCATGCCTGAATCGATTGAAACCTTGTGATGAGTTCATTTTCACCTTCAAGACACATCATCCATTCATCATCCATTCTTTAGAGAACCCAAACACACCACTGATTGAAATGTCAGAGCTGAAAACATGAATAAATGTATTTCATGATATCAGATAATTATGGCTCTTCCAGATGTTCTGGTGATATGACATCAGCGATTTGTAATTTTCAAGCAGTAACCTGATGGATGCCCGCATGTCTTCAAGGAGTGCTGGTAATTCTCCTGTGTTCTGCAGGACAATTCTCCTATGGTTCAGTAAATGCTAGTTGTGTTCTTAAGGCATGATTTGTTTAGAGAGAAAAGCAGGGGACTTTAAAAAACAGAGCGTGCACAGCAGAGTTGTGATAAAGACATGTAGCCCACATGATGTTAGGGCATCAGGAGGTCAACAAAAGCATTAACCTCTCGCCAAGATAACAGATGGGAATGTTTGTTGGCTTCGCATTGCATTTGGAAAAACCTTGTTGATAATGGAAAGATAGCAAGGAACATTACTGTGCACCGTCACTTTAAGAGCTACAG